CTTTTTTGGGGGTGGATTTCAACACCGTGAAGAACAGGGTGTTGAACTTTGCCTACTTTTGTTTGGGCGGAGTAGGACCTTTTGATACCTGGTTTTGTTCCTTTGACCAGTTGGTGGACCAGTCGATTGGGGCTTTGGGGCCCCTTTGAACGTTCAGAGTTGGTCGTCCAACGGAGAACTCTTTGGTTCAAGTGATAGAACACTCCTTCCCACTGGAGGGTCTACATCCCTCCTAGTGGCTTGAGCTTGGACTTGATGCGCCACAGGCCGTGGATTTTCGTTGGATGCGTCACACGTGACGCGTGGGACCTTCAACAGAAAGGAGTCAATCCATTGAAGACACTTCCGTGCACCTGGACCTGAAGTGCTGGGACCTCTTTAGAGTCTCTAAGTGACCCTTTACAGGCCTAAGCGACTTCATCCTGGGATGTCAAGAGGTCACTTTGAAGGTCCTGGCACACACCAACTGGGACAGTGAACATGCAAGAAATGGTGTGGATCGCATCCAGCGTCAAAAAGAGAGAACTCCCTGAGAGTGAATCAGCAGCACCCCAGGAAAGGGGTGGTTGATAGACCTTTCCAGAATCCCATTTGTTTATTTAGTTATCGAATGTTATCGGATGACCATCCAAAGTGGGTGCTGGAAGAAGTCTTCTTCGTCCAAGCGCGTTTGGTCATCGGTATATTCCCTACTAGGCCTCGAAGACCCATGATCATGAGTTCGGTTGACCTGGTTTTGTAGTCTAAAATCCGTAAACAATGGTTCTTTGAAAGAAAACCGCCACTCTTGGTCTCGACCGTACGCAACTCCTGGTTTGTTCCAGTAAACCTGCAGAGCCGTCGGTGTGTAGAACGTGGTCCCCAAATAGATGAGTGGCACGCTTTCCAATAGATGTACCCTAGGGATCCAGTCGTGCCTTCTCAGAAGGTGGGACTGGAGTGGGTTTGGACGGTCCAGGTGCCTTCTGAGAAGGTACTTGGATCCTGTGGGGTAAGAGTTTTAGGCCTACAACCTAAAGTTTCGGGTGATATACCCAAGACTCACCGACCTGGAGAATGGTGCAGACTTAGTCGGTAAAAGAAGAAAAAAACGCGCGCGAGCGAGCGATCGGTCCAAAGGGCCCTCTGCACTGAAAGGTTTTGGAGGGAGCGGGAAAGGGTTTGTTTTTTCATGGAGAGTTTGGGTAGAACACATTCCTCCAGTGGCCAGTAGAATGGGCCGTGGCACAACCTGGACGTCCAGCCTCAAGTGTCGTCCCGGCCTTCGCCTCCTGCTGGGCAACGAGGCGAAGACACATCTCGGAAGGGCCAGGTGTTTTGTTTGGGAATCGAGACTTGCCATGCGAGTCTCAGTTGCATATTGTAGAGCATTGTAGAGTCGTAGAGCCAACTCATATTTATATATATTCGAGACTTCATTTAATTTTTGGCACAAAAGGGACCCTATCGTTGGGAGCTCATGGTCATATCACCTCGAGACATCATGATTTCTGTCGAAAGATGTGACACGCATGCATGCGTTTTGGCAAGCAAAACACAACATAAAGGGTTTGATAGCTCTTCCAGGCCAGCCTCGCCACATCTCACAACAGATATTCTTGGGAATCACATGGAATCACATGCCTCCTTAGAAGGTGTTTGGTTGGGCTACATCTTACAATATTATCAGTAGTTGGATCAAGAGGTGACCTTGGTCCTGCTTCTACTGACTCGGAGGTGTTGATTGGTTGGTCAGCGGCTTCGATAGTAAAACACCGAGGTCTTTTGATGTTGATTTCATGCTAGCCGAGCACAACTGGCCTGGACTTGTTGCAGCCCAGTCTTGTCCGGTGGCTTTGCGCCAATCAGTCTTTGCCCAATAACCACCGGCAGCCCACGTTCGAAAAAGAGGAAGACAGCTGCGTTTCCTGCGGATGCTGGTGCACTGGGGCAGGAAACCCTGCGGATGTTGGGGCAGAATGTACTGTTACTGTGAGAAGCCCCAACTTACCTCTGGGAACATAAACAACAGACGAAATCCATTTGTCCAGCAGGTCCCCCTATTTCAATACAAACCCACTTGTTGGAGCAAAGCGTAAAGCAGTTGCAAAACCCAATTCATCCACTGGGTGATTCGGCTACCCTGCAGATCCGAACCCTCATTCGAAACCTCAATAGGTGGTCCTGGAACATGTGTTGGAATTGACCGCTGGATTCGACCGACCTCAGCCTGTGTTCAGACGGGACGATTAGCAGGGAACACAGTGTTGCGACCGAATCCTGGGAGAGGATGAGTATACTCCTGCAGTTCCTCTCCACGCCTACTCATCTTGGATGTGGCTCACTTCTGACTCTCGAAGCATCCACTCCTTCAGCATCCTACGGATGTGACGATCCAGTCATGGCCAGTCATGGTCAGGTCATGTTGAGGGGTGAACTAGTTGCAGCTGTCATGCACCATATTCCATTGCTGCTAAGAAACTCGAAGGAGCTTACATCCAGGAGTCACATGTCGGGGTGGTGTTTGGTCCCCAAGTGAGTGGATGTTCTGGGCACCCCTAAGCTCCATTAAGCACCCCGACATGTGACTGCTGGATATTGGATCTTCTTTTTGTTGAATACGGTGCCTTTTCGCTGAACATGTGGCAAAAAGTAATGGTGGCTGTTGGAAGATCCATGTTATTTGTTCAATCGAAGGGCGTGGCTGTTGTTGGAACCACTGTGGATATTGAACTCGGTGTTACTCCCCGAACCTTCACTTTATAGAAGCACGCGGTGCGGACCGCGGTGCCCCCTCGCTCCAACCGATGGCGGGGGTCACTCTGCCAGGGGATCCACCCACCTGCAGAGCGAAGAACGGAGAGCCGCAGGCGTCACCGGAGCAGCGCCGCTTCGGCTCCGAACGTTCAAAGCCAACCCGCGGCCAATCGGCTGCCCGTTGGACCCGAGCCAATCGGCTGGCTGGGCACCCGTTCGATACCGCACACGTACCGGTCCTGGCGGTTTCGTTCTGAGAAATGGGTCATCCGGTCGACCGTACCCATTGTAACTGGACAACTAGGAACAAGAAGCTACGTTCGGGGCTCCTGGCATCGCTAGAAACCGGTCCCGTACCCATCGTCCTAGGGATAGGACGATCTTATTTTTATTTTGTTTGATCGACCGAGGTCGGCACTGCCACTGCCTGCCACTGTCGGCGGTTTGTTGGTGATCTTTGTATGATGTGTATGTTTAAACTTATACTTTGTTTGAGCCCAGTTGATGTAATTGTTTTTTGGGAAGGATTTAAACCACCATCCAGAAAGTGTTTTGCGTTCATTTTGAGCGATCTCACAAGATCATCTTCCAGATCTAAGTTTGCCACCTTGAGCATCAATTTTCTGAAAATCCCAACACCATGGACCGAGAATGACCGATTTTTTTTGAACCAGGACACCGGAGGCTTTTGACGGTGTACGGATGTGACCGCCCCGCCTCTCTGCTCCCACGGCACACCGTGCTCCCATGGGATTCTGCCGGTTCGGGCCTCAAGGCTTTGCCGTTTGAGCTGAATGCTGGATGAATTGGACATGAGTCACAAAAGGGGTCCGCCAGGTGAACAGCAGACATGGGAAAAAGATGGAACAGGCAAACCTGCGATCTAGAAGAGGATGACTTTCACACAAGAATGGCATTGAACGGCTGTAGATCTACAGAGATAGTAAGGCGACCAGGCTTCGGTCAAGTTTCCAAAGGGCGACCATGTAGATGTACAACGCTTCTGGGCCATTGATCAACGATATGTAGGCTGATAGCACTAAGGGTTGGTAGGCCTAGATCCGGCACTGACTCTTCCGAGTGCCTTAGCTGCTCCATTGCCATGGCAGAGGAGTTTAGGCCGGCGATGGGGCGTCACACAAACATCATCCAACCCTTTCGCCTCAAAGACTGTGTTCTGGGAGTGCCTAAGGTACGCGAAGACCGGGCCAAAGACTCTGCAACGACCAACGGATATGGTCCGTATGGTCGAACCATGTCGAACCAATAAAGCTGGATCCCCAGGTTGATGATAATTTGATAGTGACGGCCAATTGGTGGCTCGCGCTCCTTGGACATCCAGCAACTACTTTTGATGGTAAATTGGTAAACATTCTGCACAAATTGGAACGACCAGGCACACAGTTTGCACATGTTCTGCAAATGTCATCCAATGTTTGTTGTTGGAGGATTTCTGGGGAGGTGTAACTGTAGGATTTCTGAAGAAGAGTAGGGAAGTCATGCCCCACAACAGAGGTGTTGTGGCCAAGGGCTCATTTTTCTGAACTGACATAACTGTCCTTACAAGTCAAACGACTGATAACAAGAATCACATCAACGGAATCAGGAATGACATGGGTCGAATGAATAATCCAAAATTGAATAGGAACCATGGGAATGAATGAATGAATGCATGCATGCATGGATGGATGGATGGATGAATGAATGAATGAATGAATATATAGATTAATCGACATGGCATGAACGATGCACTGGGTGTGGTGTGACCCCATTGTGTGAACTCCATCCAGCTTGAATCACCGAATACTGAGAGGATGGGGGCCTTGCTGAAAGAGAATTCCTTACGTTCACCGTTCACCCCAGAATCGAATCTGGACTACAAATACCACTACCCCTAAGACGCCATCCTGAGAAGGATTGAGAAGGTGGTTAGACCCCCCCAATCCCACCCTAACCACCTTCTCAGGAGGTAGTTTGAGCCCTATAGGGTTCTTTAATGAACCCAAAAAGTTGCTTGGTCGGTGATTTGAGTCGAACTGGACAAAAATTGCGGTGACCAGCGACACTGTATCCCCAAAAACATCCCACCCACATGCTCTGGAGGGATTGGTCCCAGATATGGAGGGGTCTGGGGAGACCTCAGCAATCCCTGAGGTTTGGTTCGAGACCAGGAAAGGGCTGTGACAGGAGCGTCGGGGACGATTTCTCAACCACCCCAACTGATCGGCTGCATGCAGAGGTTACAATTCTCCCTTTTTCCAGATGCATTTTGGGGGAAATGAGTGGATCAGAAAATCCCCATCGGAAGCCTTGAACTTCTGAAGTCCCCCGCCCAGACGCTCCGACTTCGCCCGCCCCGACTGGTCCGTGAAAACCTAGGGATTTGGAGTTCTAAAGCCTTTCCTTTTGTTTTTCACGATGGATGGTTTGACCCCACATCAGAACACCTGCCAGTGCCAAGGTCAAGCCACTTCTGCTTGGCACAAGGACAACTTGAAAAGACTGAAGACACCCTTGGAGAACCAGTGTCATAGCCATCGCCTACGAATCGCCTACCAGGTCCTACCAGAAGTATTAATCCGTCGAAATGTCTCAAGAAGGCACCGATCGGATCCTTCCATTGTTTTAAATAGGTCTGAATCCCAAACAACCATTGGCTTACTATATCCCTACAAGTCCAAAGACCCAGTAAAACCTGTTTTGTTTACCTCCTTATAAGCAGTGTTTTTGCATGACCAACTCCAGTAAAATGAGCTCATTGACTTGTAGGGTATGTTTGACTAAGGATTCAAGACCACCAAAACCACTTCAATAAGGAACTCTTTGAGGCTATAGGGTCCGGCGTTCGTTTGGCTTGGTGCGGCTCAGAGGGGTCGACAACAGCAGGAGAAGTGGAATTTCTTGAGCTGCCATGGTAGCCAAGCAAGCGCTAGTTCCTTCCTATGCCAGAATCCCGTGCTCCACAAGTGCTCCTGAGCCCCGTGGTTGTTTGCGGGGGTTATACTTCATTTTCTCTAAGGTACCAACTGAAACTCCAGGCAACTGATTGTCCAAACTTCAATTCCACCTTCGCTCTGTCCCTTATTCTCTCCTTCGCTCGGCCGAGCTCGCGCTCGCGCGGTGAGGGGCTCTGCCGGCTCTGCCGCTCGTCAGCGGAGCGTCGAGAGGCTTTTGCAGGCGCGGGTGGACAGACACGACATTGCCAGCAGCCACACAGGTCCCATCGAAAAAAACACGTCTTTTTAACTGAAACACGTCTTTACTTTATTCATGGTTTTGAGGGTCACTGGCAGAAAAAACTGACCGGTCTAGATCGGTATACTGGTGTATGCATGTATAACATAAATTCCACAGATACTAAAGTTGAACAATATGACATCAATAAGGAAGCTCATTCCATTCCCAGTGACCCTGTTTGTACTTGTAGTAATACCTCCGGTCCGATGGTCTTTCATGTTGGACTGCCCCACATCCGCACATCCCTGAATTTTGCAAGCTCCTCCGAGCGCAGATGAACTCCAAGGGGAGCGCCCTGGGGAGTGTTCAGGGCGCGAAACTGGAGTCATGTTTGAACCGACAAGAATGGCATCACTACTACAAGTAACAATAGCAGTAACAAGAGCAGTCAGTAACTATAAGGGCATTACTATATATAAGTAAACCATCTGAGTAACTAACTTTATAGGGGCGCTACTAACATGTATACTAACTACTAGAGTAAACCAGAAGCTACTAAGAAAACCATCTGAGTCCTCACCCTCAGAGTCCGGTGTTCAGGAATCCATCGTGGCCTCGAATAGCGCCGAGAACCGGGCGCTGAAACGGAGGGCGTGGAGCCCCGGTGAACCACCGACCGCGGAGCGGGCGTGCCAGCGATGGAGGCCGATGGTTGTGAGGTGCACGAAAGGTGTGGAGTGTTTCACCACGGAACCCTGACCCGTTTGGGCTCCAAGTACCTTCTAAGAAGGTGGGACTGGGGTGGGTGCCAGGAGGGTCCAGTCATACCTTCTGAGGAGGTACGACTGGAGCCCTATAGGGTGACTCTGTTTCACTAGGGCAGAGCCAGGCAGAGCCATTGCGGACTGAGGGGTCAGTCTCAAATCCCGGTGTTTGTGGGCCTGTGAAGAATGAGCGTCACCCGTTGGGTTGGATGCTTTTCGAGTGGGGACTTGCTCTAAGTGACTTGGACTTCCAAAGAATTTGGAGAATTAAGAACTCCTTTTTTTCCCCAATGGGTGTTGGGCAAGACTGAGGGTCTCTGCGCAACTCCAATTCGCGGCCAGGTGCGACAACGCCTGCACAAGCGGCTCGGGGCAATGCTGCCTCCAGAGGAAGGCGGTCGTTCGAATCCACCTCACGACGAGATGATCCGGGTCCTGAAAAGGGGGGTGACGGTACTGCGGAGCTTCTCAGTGAAAAGCGGGTGTTAATATTTAAGATTATTTAAGACTACCAGGGGGTGGTGTGAAAGGTCCCCAAGCTCGTGAGTGGATGTGACGTTCGGGCACCCCGACTAGCTCCATTTAGCTCGGAACCCCGAGCTTTGTGACTGCTGGTATAAGAGGTTTCTCGATGTTTCAGCGCGGACATGGTCAGATCGGCTCCAAAGTCGTCCGAGTCCGTCCGTGGTGTGTCACACATCGGTGTTGACCACCAATGGCCTGGAGGTGTTCGATGTCGGTGCTCCCGGGCTCCGTGGGGCCTACCGGTGCCACCGATGGGCCTGACCTGAGCCCAGGGTCAGGTGGCAGGGTGCCCGGTTTTGGGGCAGAAATGTGGAGTGGAGTGGAGAATCCAGTGTAGGTGCCCAGACCACCTGAGCACCTGCACTCCCTGGAATCATCATGGTTACGTGGAACATGGCCGCTTGGATGAACATTTTCCACATTGTTCAGTTAATATAGGTCTTCCAAGATGGTTCCAGGATATCCCAGGGCATGTACACCATTAAACCGAGGAAGCCCTTAAAAAGGGAATGTCGTTGAACGATGTTGAACGATATTCTGTGAACAGCTCGGTCTGGACGAGTGCGGGAGGGGGTAAAGCGGAACCCAAGCAAAACCAATGACTGGAATAAAGTGCAGCTTCTTGCGGGCCCACCACCTGAGATGGAAGTCCCTCACTGCTTGTATTGGTGTGGTCAGGGGATTCCTCTTTCAGCATCTTTCAGCACTAAATATGCAAGATTCTGAGCCGGATCATTTTGGGCCACGCGGTCGCTTTTCCAACACCTGACCGGATCCTCTTTCGGGTCATGCCGCGGTGTGCTCCGCCTCGGTGTCCGCGCCGCCGTGAGGAGTTTGAAGAGGCGACCAAGCGATTTCGAGAATTGGAGCTCGCAACGGCCAGTCCTCCAGGCGATCAGCCATCGAACGCTTTTTCCCAAAAGCCAGAAGACACGAAGATGGAGAGTTGACATACATGAGTTGACATGGATGAGTCAGTTGTTTGGAGTTCATCCCCCTCTCGTTGAGGGATTTCTCGCGAAGTCACTTTGCTTGTGGATAGTGGGATTCCAATGGTTACTGTTTTTTTGACGAAGGATTTCAGACTACCAAAAGAAGGTCAACTGAACTCCTTTAATGGTCGAACGGAAGGTAGAGAATTTACATGTGAATTTCAGTTTTACTGGAGTTGGTCATACAAAAACACTACTTGAGGAGGTAACATGTCTTGTAGGGTACCGTTTGTTTTAGCTCAGACTTCCTGTTTCGTTGCGGTCTGCGGGGTCTGCGGAGTGACTGATGGTTCTCACCCGAGGCTGGGCTTTTTCAAGCGCGACACGGCAACACCTTCACCACCGGGCGCAGTCGCCATTCCCATTATTAAGTATTTAGGGTTTAGGGTTTTAATAGAATAACTCGTCTATAATTAGTATACCTGGATCTTTCAACTTATGCAACATGTTCACATCTTAAACATGTTCCCCAGTGGTTGAAACATGCTCACATCTTAAATCCTTGCACGGAATTCAGGTTTTCTTGCCCGGATGGCCTCCAAATACACAGCCGCCGGGGCTTCCAAAAGGCGAACGCAGAGAGTCCAGGGTCTTCCTGTGAACATGGCTGATCAGATAGAGACGATGCCCTTAGACGAGGGATCCCACATACCCGAGGATCTCTGAGGTACGGTGATGTGTTGGAGACACTGTGATGTAGCTGCCAGGAGGGTCCAGTCGTACCGAACCTGAGAAGGTGCTTGGATCCGGGATGAGTGTGTGTGTTTATAGTACTGTCCTTCTGTCGCTCCTCCGCTACTTGGCACGCTCGAAAGGAATCTGTCTAACATATATTATGTCATTTCTTGAAAACACTCTCCTGCACAACATCGTTTTCTCTGGGTCGTTGGTCGGGGGGTCAGTAGGTTTGCGCTCAGAGTGTGTTTTGTTCCCAATAGTAAACAATTGGCACTGGACTAATTCTTGCAAGGGTCATGACATGTCATAAATTCATCAACGCTTTCAAGCCAATCCTTTGGGATCCTTTTTAGCTACTGGTACCTTTGGGTGAAAGCAATCCAGCACCTTTTCGGGATGTGCAAAGATACTTTTTGAGAGGCAGGTCATCAGCCTGAGATGGGAGATCCCTTCTGTGCCGTTGGATGCCGTTGTGGAGCCCACAGGTCATGCTGAGTTTCCTGAGGAGGTCAGAATGTGCTGGGCTTGGCGAGGAAAAACTGTCGGATTTGTTTCGTTCTCCAATGACTCCCAAATTGTACGGTGAGGTTGCTCATGTGGTCATTGATGATATTGATGAGCAAGAGATTTAGTTAGAAGGGTGGATGTTTGCGCTCGAATTTGCTCACATCGTTAAATGCTGATTCTCATGCATTTTGCCACAGGTTGGCGTCCATAGGAATGTGCTGAATGAAATAGATTGCACCGTTGTATGCTCACCACTGTAATATAGAACAAGCCGTTTCAAGTGGTTGAGATACAAGAACAGAACATGGAATTCGGTGGTCGCTGGGAGGTCGCTGGTGCTTTTGTGCATGTCGCCCGAACGCCGTGGGGCCAGCCCCCTAACAGCTACCCATCACTCAAACAAAGAGATATGGGTGTGGGGGGGGAGACCTCCCAGTTGGACTTTTGGAAGGCTCGAAAATTCACCTAGTGTACCCATCGGGCCAGATGTTTTCTTGGCAAGTCCGAAACCAGCACCTCACTGCCACATCACCAATGGTTCGACCTGTTAAGAGGGCCGTTCCCAATCCTTCAGAGGTGAGGATGCTGGCATACCTAGAACAGGAATGACCTCTGGCCCTTTCCAATCAAAACAGCGGTCATGCTTGGGTTTTCGCCCCGGGCGACTCGTTTTCCGGGAGCCCCAAACAACTGGTGTTTTCTTCGCCACATGAGTTCCCCCAACTCTCCCCCACCCGCCCAACCCTTGGCGCCGTGGGCCGCCAGGAGCTCTCCTTCTCCAGCGGCCCCTGGATTGTCTCCCGGCGTGGGTTCGCTGCACCCTTTCGCTGCAAGCGATGCTGATGTATGGAACTCCTCGGGCTCCAGTTGTACCGAACCTAAGGTTTGGTGGGACTGAGGTGGGTGGGTGCCAGGAGGGTCCAGTCATACCGAACCTGAGGAGGTACTTGGAGCCCTAGGGGAACCAAAAACATCGGAATCCCTATTCCAGCCGCAGCGGCTTCGCTGGAAAATCCCGGGTGTGAATATGACATGAGAAGTGACATGAGAAGGCGAACTATAGTTGACCCGTTGGCGCCCGTTGGTGATCATACCTGGATCTTCCAACCCTGCAAACATTGTGCCCTTTGGCTAGTTTGAGGATGACAAGACCCTCGCCGATCGACCAGTTCTTCGGTGGACATGAGAAGTGGATATGAGCACATGAGACAATGAGGAACACGGGGCTGTTTTGGCCAACAATTCATTTGATTTTCTCTTAACTTCAAGACACACTATATAGCTACTTTTTCTTGCAGGATGGTTTTGGAGCTGTCCGTTTCTGTGTAATTAGCCAACGAAAGAAAACTGCAGGAAGCCGCGATCTAACTGCAGGAAACCCTTCGAGAGATGCTGAGCTTTCACTTTTTTTTAAATGAAGCTTCCCATGCCCCTCCGCCAGCCAGGGCATGGACAGTGGTTTTTAGAAGTGGTGACCAGGAGGCTTGATTTCGTAGTGACGCAGTGTGGATTTGAACCCGCACTGTGCACCCTTTGTTCAGTGTGAGATGTTCCAGCACTCTACCCAGTGGTTAAGCCGGTTAATTTGCATCTCATCATTTTAATTTTGCCTCATAGATATGTTATTACCATATACTACAGTGCTGTTCCACAAGAATGGACCCTCCATGCCGAGAAGGCCTCGCCCAGGTGGCCAATTCGCTGGTGGTCCCTCCTTGGGTCCAAGCTGTTCCAGTCCAAGGAGCTCCGCGATTCGTCGGTCCGAGACCGGCCGGCCGTTTGCCCGAACTGGGCCCGGGGCCGTTTGGCCGGTGGGTCTTTTTAAATCTTTTTAAGATGTAGAAAGGGGCAGTCAATGTAGAAAGGCAAGTGTATATGTTCCATACATGGATTACTTCTGGGTGCCAAAACGGAGATGCCGTGGAGGTCAATGGAGGTGGTTTGAACATACAAAGCTCCTAGACATAAAGTAACTATGCCTGTACGGAACAGCCACCCGCTGGAAAATGCTCAAAAAGAGATGCAGGACTTTGACTATAAAATACTAAGACTATATATATATATATGTATGCCTCAGGAGACCCCTTAGACCATGCAGAGGTACTTGGGTGGTAGTGGTAGTGAACTCCTAGAGAATAATCCTTTGATCGGAGGTCTGCCTACGGCATAGTTAGATTCTTTAGCATCCGTTTCTGAGCATTTTTGGGTGGCTAAGATGGGTTTATTGTTGCCAGGTTTACGCATGGGCGTCAACAAAGCCTCTACCCAAGTTCCCCAAACAGTGTGGTCACACTAGGGGTTCTTACGGTAGGGGTTAAGGGCCGGTGTCTAATCGAGCTGTCGTATGGGCGTGTGCGGCTAGTTCGCTGCTCTTTACAGTGCATTCATGCCTCTCGAAATCCTCGAAGTGCATTTCGACTGCTCAGGCTCGCAAAATCTGGTTGGCTGGCGCGGGTGCTTGTCGTGTGCGCTCTCGTTGTGGCAGGTGGTCACTTTTTGTGGCAGGCGCACGGGAAACCTCATGACTTTTTGTGACAGGTGCAAGGGATCGGAGCGGTGTTACTTCGAAGTGCAGATTTTGTGGCAGGCGCCGCACGTTGGACATCTCTCACGCTCACTTACACTCACTCTCGCTCTCACTCTCACTCACTCACACTCACTCTCAGTCACACTCACCCTCACTCTCACTCACTCTCACTCAGTCTCACTCACCCACTCTCAGAGTCTCACTCACTCTCACTCACACTCACACACACATTCGCAACAGGTCACTTACTCACCACCACCGCCACCATCACCACGATCTCCACCTATCACCTCTCTGCACCCCAATCCGTCCAGATTGGTTTTCTGCTGCCACACCTCTAGACCTCACTGTTTGGGGTCTTTTGCAGGGATAACTAATTTTTTCATGCGCATATCTGACTCTGATCCTCGTCGATCAGTACCTCCGGAAGAATTGGCACCGCCATAGAAGCGGTAGAAATCGAACAGCTTTTATGGTTTCTATCATTTTTCAAAGGTTTTAAATCAGGTGTTTATAAAGAATTGTTATCAAAAGGTTTCTAGGCGTTTGTGATTCGAACTTAATTGATTGATAAAATCCACTCACTCACTCACTCCACTCACTCACTCCAGTCACACTCACTCCACTCATTCCACGCCACTCCACTCCACTCCCCGCTCCGCTCCCCTCCGCTCCGCCCCGCCCCGCCACGCACGCACTGACTCACTCACTCACCCACCACCATCTCCACCTTCATCACCACCATCACCACTCTGGACCCCAGTGCGTCTAGATCTCTAGACATTCTGCTGCTACACCTCTAGACCTCACACACACTGTTTGGGGTCTCTTACCGGGATAGCCCAGTTGCAATGGACAGCTCTGTTGTACAATCCCAAACACTCCATGCATCAAACACACACCTCCTCTCCCTTTCATCCAAGTTTGACAGTCCTTTGCCCCCTGTTTGGAGCCCCAGTCGCTTCATTCCTGCGTCGCTTCAGCTGACTTCCCACACATTGGACCTCCGATTTTCGGGTCGTTGTTTTTTGTGTCTCCAGCCCCTGCTCTCGGTTCTCGAGCGGACTGATCACCTGATCACCTCCGCAATTGGTTCACATGCCCATTGGGGCCGCATAACGCCACGTCGTGACGTGGAGGAAAAACAACCAAAACGCTGCCTGGGGGGGTACGGTGGAAGTTAATCCACTGAGCAGCATCGCCCAAAAACATTTCCAACGGTGATGAATGAATGCATGCATGTGGGCCAGCTTGGCTATCTTTGCTCCAGAAGTTTGTTATGCATGATCCGAGGTACAACACTTGGTGACCTTCAGTAGTCTTACATAGATGGAATCTACACATGGTGTTTTTGTGGCCACATATTGACATATATAATCGCCGACCTTTTGTTTGTGTCAGGACCCTATTTGGAGCAAACGTGGTGTGAATCAAGTGACTATTGGTGGTGGGAGTCATATGAACAATACAGTCGGGGTGCCCAGATGTGGTGGTTTGGCTCATGGATAGGTTCGGCTGACATCAGCAAAACCATCTCAAGGCCGGCCGTGTGAGGTCTGTTTTTGGCGAATTTCATGGAGTTTCAAAGTTTCCAGCCTCTAAGGACCAAGGACTAGGACCCTGTTCACATCCCGCATCTGAAGGGTCAACAAACCACCCAGAAGCTCCGTGTTCTCACGCCCTCGCCCAGTCCTTCAGGGACCGGGCCGTCTTCGGGAGGAGTCAGGGTCGGTGTTGGGTCGCAATCTATACCCACCCAGACCTTTCCATATGAGGGTCCGACCCCTCCATATGAGGGCCCATGAGCATTTGGGCATCAAGAAACAACCCTGATCCGTCATTGGACCACTTCTGGAGGGTTTTGACCCCGGCTGTCGAAACAGCCACAACCCAACCGTCCAACCGCCTCAGGTCCCTGTGAATTTCAACAGATCGAGCCTTGGCTCCGGCAGAACCCACCGCCTGCCTGCATTCTGCAGGGGTGGGAACGGGGTCGAGAACCGCGGTATCTCAGGAGGTCGTTGGACCCCCTATAGTTTCCTCACCCCATCAATCCATGGAATCTTTGCCTAGAGGATTGAGGACATCTCAAAATCGCCCCAATGGATGTAAAGCATTGCGTTGGCAGAAGCGGGTTGTGATTTTTGCGCGAAGACACGAAGACTCGAAGACACGAAGACGCAAGGCTTCAGGTCTTCAAGGTTTCAAGGCGTCACGGTGTCAGCAGGGTTTCAAGGCGTCAAGGCTTCATGTCTTCAGAGGAAAGTCACCCGGGACTTCCAACACGTAAAAGGCAGATCTTCCAGCCTCATGTAAAACGGCTACTAGTAGCGACCGAAGGCCGTTTTCCTGGATCAAGGCGGACCGAGCTTTCAAAGGACATCAAAGGACGATCATCCGATGTCTAAACATGCCGACCACATCCGACCCAACCTAAAAGGACATGCCCCCAAAGCAAAGTCGTCCCGCATTCCAGGTGGTTGGCCATTTCAGTTGGTTCTGCTTTTTGAAAGGCGGCGCATGAAGCCACCTTCCTTGAACCATCTTAAACCTATTCTGGTGAATGCTAGAAAGAGCCCAGCTCCCACGTTTGGGTCTTGGCCAAGATAGAGATGAACACATACACAACATCAGTTTTGATGGAATCATCGCCAACAAAAACATCAGACCTCAAACGTCAGGAGTTCCATGTCGGGGTCCTTCGTCGTTCGTGTGAGGCCAAGCCCATGATCCTCTCAATGGATGGGACTCAAAATCACCTCGACATGGAAGTGCTGGCAGAATCCGAAAGTCTCCACACCACTGAACACCTGGACGTACTCCAACCATCTCCAACCTAAGAGCGATGGCCTCCACCCTAATAGCGATGGCCTCCAACCTAATAGCAAAAGGACCCTCATAGCAATGGCCTCCACCCAGAAGCAATACTGAACACCTGGACGCAACTCTTGGATACCTGTTTGCACTAGCCTATCTTGAACACCTCTTTGTCATCTCGAGCTGCCACCGAGGAGCATGGCCGGCATGAGAAGCTGCGGAGTTTGAAAGGCGCGCGTTGTAGCCAAGGCGCATGTGAGGGCCCAATGAGGCCAACAAACTCACCAGGTCCAATTGGACATGTCCTTATACAAATAGGATTGTCTAGACATGTTTAGACCATTCATGAGCCTCTATAGCTAGCGTACTTTCACCTGTTTGCGTGACCCTACAGCGGGTCACAAAAACGGCACAGGTGCTTGTGTATCATCCCATATATATATATAATAATAAGTATTATATATATATATACATCTTACATTGTATGCCGCATATTTGCCGCATTTGCCTCCAAAGGAGCTGGTGAAAGATGGAACATCCACAGCCGAACCGTATTAGACTTTTCAGCCACCAAATCACCTGGGTCCCAGGGATAAACATGGATAAACCATAATAACACCGTCCAGCACCAGGTGCCCGGTACTCGCCTCTGGTCGGCTTCAAGGATTGACCCTCAGGTACAGTCTGGGACTGGCAGACAGTCTGGGACTGGCAGACAAAGGTCACTGGCGTTCCCCGGGCCAGTCTGAGTCTGGGACTGGCCATGACCTCTATGAATGGCTTCTAGACCACTCATTAACCTCAAAACAGAGGTCATGTTTGGGTTTACAAATTGAGACATGGGCCTGGCCCAACTATAATCCTGCAATTAGAGGAGACGTCCCAGGTTATCTTGCAGCCTTGAATCCAGCTTTTGTGTGTTTTCGCCCAAAGACCCAAAGACTCGCAACGCCTCACGTTTCTCCACGCCACCAGGTGATCGCAGTGAGCCGAGCGTCGACGCGGGTGACAGTGCCCGCAGCACTGAAGCGGACAGCCAGGCGTCCGTCGTTTCGCCCATGGGATCGCCACCGTCGTCCGTCGTCCGTCGCTCATGAGAGATCATTCACTTGACGTTTTCACCCTAGGGCTCCTGGCCCACCTCCTGAGGTTCGGTGGTTGGGGTGGGTGCCAGGGGCGTCTAACCACCGAACCTGAGGGAGCCCTAGGGTCAGAAGGTCCAGTCGTAGCTTCTCAGGTACTGGACCACGGGACCGACCTGGCTGGCACCACACTGTTGTCGAACACATCACCGTCCGTCGGTGCGGATCCCGGTGTCACATGCACCGGGTGAACCAGGGTGAGAGATGGTCACCTTTGGATCGTTTGGTCGTTTCGAATCCGTTTGAGACGTAAGACCGAAGCGCAGGTGTGGCTGTAGGGCGTGTGGTGAGTCTGCCCAGTCTGCCACATGTTCGACGCATTTTCGATGCAGTCACAGGTCGACATGAGACACACTGCGCACGCTGTCTCGGGTCGGATCCTGTTCGGGTCTCGGGTCAGGACTCGGTGACTCGAGTGTCGAGTCGACTCGGCGTCCGCACGCTGTCTCGGCGACGTGGGGCGCTGTCGTTGTGCGAGACCGGTACACCACGTGGGCGTTGACGGGCCTTCGTCTTCGAAGTCCGAAGGCTGAGCCTGAAGACGAAGGTCAGACCAGTCCCAGTCCCAGGTCATGAGACTGTCTCTAGTCTCACTCCACTGGCCTCAGTTTGATGTTGAAGTGCGAGACTCGTTGGCTTGAGAAGAGTCACTCTTCCATTCAGGTCCCTCAGAATCCTACCAGGTTAAGAGTAGTTTGCGCCCATCACCGAAGCCAACTTTGGATCGCAGGCCAGTGAGGATCTCAGCTTGGCCCTGGAGAATGTCAAACAGTGAGCTGTCAGCAGTGATTGCTTGGCAAGCGAGACCAGACCAAGAGACAATGTATAGAATCTAAGAAGAGCGCTTCAAGGCCACAGTGATCATGATGATGGGTGGAGTGATTGACAATGAGATTACCCCGTTCAATCGGGTGGTTAATCCAGAACTTCCAATGGCTCATGAAATACCCTACCTGGCAGTCATAGTCCACCACTACCTGGAGGTCAAATGACTCCTGACTGGACTCTCAAGATTCCAGTGGAGTCAAAAAAGATCGATGATCCTGAATACCCATAGGGTCCAGGTACCTCCCATAGGGTCCAGGTACCTCCCATAGGGTCCAGGTACCTCCCCCGGATGGTCTTGAAGGTGAAATTAAAGTACTTCCAGAGAATGGCCTTGGGGGGCCACAGGACATCCTCGTGATAGGGACGCGTCAATGAGCTCGGGCTTCCGGGCGAAACCGTCGGAAGTGTCCGTGCACAAAGGCCAGTTCTAAGAGGGAGTGTACCAAGAGAGGTTGACCTGAGCTAGAATCCTGTAGTGATACATATGGGATGGGTTATAGTTATAGGGCTGTTCAACCTGTAGATCCCATCCAAGCATATGTTGCATAGAACCATATAGAACCCAATAGAACCTAGACATAACCTCCGTTTTGAGTGGACATGACCATGTTTTGGCTCCCGAACAGGGCCACTCAGGTTCTAGGTGTTTTTGTTGAGTCCAGTCATGACTCATTTGACTCGTTGGGATAACATGAGTCGTTTCAAGGTTCCGGCATGTATAACCATTCTTGGTCATTCCATTCGTGTATTCAATCAAGGGAGGAATGCTGAAACCCCACTTTTCTACCCCCAAAACAACCAGATATTTCTAATACAATATGATGCGTAAATGGTATAGTACCACAAGACTGCCATGCGCCGTGCGCAAAGGATGGCAAAGGTTTAGTGTTCCAAATCTTTGATAAAAGGATCTTCATGGTCCATGTGGTAGTTGGTCATAGTCATAGTTGGTCCAATTTGCCCGGAGCCTTGTTGTGGAACACGGGTACATCATTTCTTGAGTCAGTCAAAATTTGCCTCCAACTTCTTGGGGAGGCGTGCCATCGGCAGCTGTGTTTTTTAACCTTACAAAAAGAGGTCTCCCAAGAGGGCCAGCATTACCCAGGGGCCCAATGGATTTAGGGGTACCAAGAATCCATGGTTCAGTGGGAGTGAGTTCAAACCACCCCGGACTGGTCAAGACCGCATTGGTCGTTGGAGTCCATGCACGTCGAATTCGTTCGTGTATCGCATCCAGGGTGACACCTGGCGACCTGGATCGACCGGACGAGACCTGGCGACGTCGCCCAGGTTACCAGTGGCTCGAACCTTCTTGCACTTCGACACGCGCACCGACGTACCTCATCGGCGCTCCAAGTCCGTCTGAATAGAGACGGTCGAGCCTCGGCAACGATGGAACGAGGGATCGACAGAGGTGATCCATGTAGTTCCATGTAGGGAATTTTCCGAGGTACGAACGGGTCGACTCCAGGTACATGTGTATATTGCATCCGACGGTCACCAATGGTTCGAACGCTTAAGGCCCTTCCAGAGAAGACCTGGCAGGACATCGGATGCAGTGTAGATTAAACTGTTGTTTTTCTTTCCTGGTGGAGGTTGCTCCTGAAGTTTGGCAGGAAGAAAGGAGGCACGATCCAGTTGCGGATGTAGAAGAAGAGATCCTTCTTGTATCTTTTGGTCACTTCAAGGGTAAGGGACCACAGCTGCTTCTTGCCGCTTGGGATTCAGGTCTTTCAGTTTCAGGCCGAGTCACCACGCACACCACTGCCACGCCAAGTATTTTTAAAATGGGTAGAATCATGTCACTGTCCCAAATTTTTCGGGTACGAACTGGAGGGCCCAGGTACTTGTTTGGAGTTGTCCTCCCACATATCGTCCTCTTAATCTCTTCCGTTGTCCACAGCCGAGGACAGTCAGCACAGCATCAGCTTTAGCATCCTTTAGCCGTTTTGGAGGCTGGATCAGCTCCATGGAAACGAGCCAACTTGGGGGATCCGACCCCAGGGATTGGAAGCTCTGGCCCCTACTGGCTGGAGGGTCCATGCTCCCACTTAGGTGGACTCCCTTCGACCCAACAACAAGGTGCTCCCTTCACCGCCCGACTGACCCCAGACCCCTCCAATTCAGGGACCGATCCCTCCAGAGGATTCGGGTCCAGGAGCCTAAAAGGGAAGAAAGAAACGCGCGGTCGCTTGGACTTGCTTCAAAGGTCCAGTCCCAAACCCAAAAAAAGAACAATACATGTCTTGCTGCGTATCGAGCCCGATTGTTTTTACCCGGAGTCTGGAGTCTCAAGGTACCTCGGAGAACAGGTACAAGTACATGTTTTTATAGGGTCATGTCCTATATAGGGTACTTTGAAGGGTCAAGCTACTGAACCTGTGGTTGCTAGCAACATCGTCGGATTCTCGCACCACCCGCTTTCCACCGAACCCCAACAACAACCTCTGGGCCCCTCAAGGGGTGGTGAATGGACACCCTTTCGCCGCTCTTCAGGGTTATTATTAAGACTCCCCATCGAAGGTGGGCCCTGAGAGGGATTGCCAGCGAGAAATTTGGGTGTGCATTAATGGGGAGACCCGCAACCAATTCGTATTCAGGTCTATTTCCGTCTTCCAAGGGTCGTTGGGTTCCCACTTCCCACAAGGGTCCTCCCTGCTCATTCAGGATCTCCAGTCCACCCCCGCGTGGCAGCCCAGAGGCAGAGGACAAAGCCCATGAAACATGAATGTGTTTCGCGTAGTTGCAAGTCTTCATGTTACTACGTAGTTACTAGCTGTTGGTTTGTTGGTGAAAAGATGGTGGGTTTGAAGGGGTTGTTTGGGTTCCACACTAGGGGTATATATCTGGGAAACGCATCTCACGCATGGATTAGTGATTCAAGTGCTTGGAGTGTGAACATTCTGAAAGGATCAACCGAAGCAGTCAGTACATGGAGCTCGTCTCGCTGGGCTCAGTGTCAGGATTGATAATTATAGGCAGTTTTTGGTGACAAGGATTCACAGCTCAGGATGTTGAGTTTGCTAGTTCCGAACACCATTCACAACCTAGGACATCTTGCAGTCCAACAAACTTATCGGATCTTTGTCCGGCTTTTTTTTACATGCCCAGCATGTATAGTTTCGGGCCTGGTACCCAGTTCTAGAGTTCTCCAAGTAGCAAGGAGGCGCTGTGGGTGGATGATTTCTAAAGAGGTCTAAAGAGTTTTCTTTCAGGTATTTGGAGCCAACTTGATTGAACAGAGCACGAAACCAAACGATGACCGAGCACTCCATTGACCTGGAAACCCAAACGACCAGAAACCAATGGTTCCTATAGTTGTTCCTGTGTTCCTGCAGTGTGGCAATGAAGATCTTTTCACATTTTACATGTCACTCAAGTACGTGGTCGTTTGGAGAAACATCTAGGTTGGAGGCCACCGCTAGTAGATTGGAGGCCATCGCTCGTAGGTTGGAGGCCATCGCTAGTTTCTTCTGCTTGGGACTGGCTTTTCTCGGTATGCTGTTGTCTTTCTGTCCAACTTCATTCTAGGTCGCGACAGCTTCGCTCCTGTCGTGGAGCTCGGCTGCTTGCGCTCCAGCAGATGGTGGCCATCGGGTCCCAATGGCCAAGCAGATTGGGGGGAGCAAACTGAGGATCTCAGACCCAAACACGCCATGGGAATGGAAGAATTTACGACCCTTGAAACATCTGAAACCCACCCCAGGTCGGTGTGTGAATTTCTATGACACACACCGTGTTTCGTCGTCTCTGGGAGAAAACAAGCCCCAGACGAGGTGGTTTTTGGTTCGATGTGTTCGGTTCGATGGACTCAACAGCTTCGAATTGTAGGATCTCGACTTCTTGACGCATCCCAGTCAATCAAGGGATCAACTCTCGATCCATTTGTGAGCTTTTTACTCCCTTCTTGGCAACCAAGAAGCTCTAATCCCAAGTGGTGTTTATTGGGGGATTGGCCAGTCAAGTACTCTTGGGTATTAGCATTTATGTGGGGGTTCATATTGCATATAAACCTCCTTTCAAATTGTGCCATCTACTCTGAAACCGCTGGCATCGCTACTAGGAGCAAGGACGCTATTAGGGGCTCCTGGCATCGCTACTAGGAGCAAGGACGCTACTAGACTAGGGGCTCCTGGCCTTACTACTAGGATCAAGACGCTACTAGGAGCACTGTGGGAAAAAAAGCTGCACACATACGTTCTGAGAAGGTGTTCAGGGCCTCTGGATATCCAGTCAGATCCACTGGATTCTGTATGGCAATACCTGGATGCTGCAAGGAATCACATTGCAATAGGGTGCGGGGGATGTCCCCATGTTCAAGGGTAAATGGTTCGAAGCGTGCGGGTTTTATCATCTACTGTATATACCTTGACCACTGGAACTCAGACTTCCTGCTTGGCTGTGGACCTTGATGGGCTGCGGAGACCGGTAAAGGCAATCCATTTGCCTGGAGAGGGGGGAGCCGCATGGGCTCTGACAGGCGTGAAGTACAGGCCGGTCGAATGGTGGAGCATCAGAGCATTCAAAAGTCATTACCCAGATGCTCCAAACAGCCGAAACATTGACATAACCACGGGTGAGTCAGCTTAACCACGACCAAACAGCCTGACTGGTCCCTGAAAAGCTATAGGCATTTGAGCCCCCAGATCCCTCCATATGAGGGTTCGGTCCCTACTGAATGGAGGGTCCAGGGTCGCGTTTGTGTAAACACCATTCCTTGGGACGTTGCAGGAATCGTTCCATTTGCCTCCTGAGAAGGTGATGGGAGCGAACCTGGTGAGTGTGGGCTGTTCAACTTCCCCCAACTTGTGGGCACCTTGACTCCAATGAAGCCATGTATACAACCAGAATTGACAGGAAGCATTTGAGAATCTGAACCTGGAGTTTTACTTAACTCCTTTCACGCATTTAAAGCAGCAGCAGCTCGCACTGTAGTAGTCGGCTGCTGGTGTTTTGTACCGCCACAACACGCTGTCAGATCCTCTTGGTGTTTGGCCCTTGCGTGTATTAGGACATAGGTTCTCGGCAACAGGTCCTTCGCAGTGGCGTTTGGACCAACAATTCATTGCAAGACTTAGTTCCACAGGATGTGACGGGCAACTGGAACAGTGGAACTCTGGAAGTTGATCTCAAGCTGAAGCGATTTGTATCCTGAGCTCAATGAGTGCCCCCCTGGGCTCAATGAGTGCCCTGTCTTTGCATACAGAGTGGCCTAATTCATCCTGACCGCAGGTCGGGCAGGATTCACTGGATTCAGGATCCCTTTTTTGTTCAGGTGAGTTCGTACTTCCAGAGAATGGCCGTTGCCTGGGGGGCCTGGAAAGGACATCCGAGCAACGGATGGTCCTGGACCCTTAGGGGCAGTGAACGGGATCATGAGTACGTGGCAGCCACGCTTCCAGTCCACTGTCTGACAGATCCTTTGGATCCGTTCAGAGTCGAACTCTAGGGGCGGTTTGAGATGTTTTAAGGGTCAAGGTAAAGAAACACATAACAAAAACAATAACAAACAACTTAATAATCTTAATAAAAGATCGTGATCACAAACCCCACCATATGAAGAGGTTGTTTAATCCAAATGGGGTTATTCATCAAGAGTCTACGTTATATTGATTTGACGCTCGTAATAAGTGTTGCTTCATAGAAAGAGATCAGCGGTGCAGGTTCCACAGGTCTCTTCCTTCGCAGAGATGAGACTTTGATGGGTCCACCCGGCGGTGCGAAGCTTCGCAAATTGAGCAAGACAATGAACCGTTATGTGTGTGTTTGCATTGTTTCAGTTGAAGTAGGTATTGCGGCACACAAGGTCAAAAACAGAAACTATAGACAAGTCAAGTTGGAACTCTGACGATCTCATTGTAAATCTTCTAATCCACATTCCATGTTCGGAGGGCGATCTCACCGCTAGGTGACCCAGGCGTAAGACAGACCTCAAGTTGTTGGAATCTCTTCGGTTGATGCCGTGGCGGCAGGGACTCCGTCCAAAGCGAGGAACGCCCAGGGATTGTTCAGCCATGTTCAGCTTCCCTTTTTTTGGGGGAATCTCACCAGGTTCCAAACTGCACGGTGAGTGTTTTCCACCTTGAAACTCAGGCCCAAGCAGAAGCAAATGGTTGGAACACGGTATGCCGATATATGCTGATATGCTTTATGTTTTGTTTTGACATCCTTTACGGTGGCTGTTTCATCCACTTGTTTCTGGCTGGGACAGGGTTTCCAGGTAAACTTGTTCGTTCGGATTAGGTGGTTGATCGACCAGAAATTCAGTGTTTTTTTTCTCCGTGGATGTGCAGCGCGGTGTGGTGTGGTGACAAAGTCGGAGGTCACACTCGTCCCTATCTTTTGAAGAGCTGGACGTCTCCAGGAAGCTAGTAACAAAGGGCATCGCTACTAGTAGCAAGGATGCTATTAGTAGCTCCTGGCATTAGTACTAGGAACAAGAAGCTATTAGTATCTGTTGGTCAGGCACGGTCCAGTGCCAAGGACTCCCCAAACACTTCTTTCCAAACCCTTCAAAAACAGCAGCTTCTTTTTTCTGCTTCTCTTGACCCGGTGTCACGGGTTTGATGGAGTGCGTCAACTCCATTCGAAAAGGGCTGCAGCGAACCCTCAAAGTTCAAAAGCAAACATGCTAGGAGGCTATCGTATCAGCACTCCCCCTAGCTTTGCAAAAAGCTATCAGCCAGCATCCTTCACTCGGGTACTCCTGACATTTTTGTCATTCTTCCCGCACGAGTGAGGAGCCGCTGAATCTTCTTCAGCTCAAGCCCTTTCTTGTTGGCAGGTGTTCGATGCCAAAATGTTGGCAGGTGTTCGATGCCAAAACTTCCTCTTCTCAACCCGTCCAGCACAGCCAGCTATGGCCTTTGGTGGCCTTTCAACAATGCACCCAACCATTGTAAAGGGGCCAACATGGCCTTCCAGCAGCGTTGAATATCAAAACTTGGTGCGGCCAAAACATGTAAATGCAAAAAGGCTCTTCCCCTTCTCACAAACCAGTCATCAGCCGTTCCGGCTATCATCCGTAGTGGGCCAACCAGGCCCTGTGGAAAAGAAGCTCAACATGCAATGCCCATCATTCCATGCCAGCCGGCCAAAATGGCCTCCTTTTTCCTTTTTTTCTTTTTCTTCCACCTTTTCTTCAGAGGCCCAATCCTCTGTCCCTCATCGCCTGCAGGCACAGGACACAGATGCTGTACTTCTTGTCCTGGATGGTCGCACATCCAGGAAGTTGGTTGTCACCACGGTGATAGATCTCACCCCAACCTCGGCACCAAATCGGCTGTCCGCGGCGAATGCGGTTCATGTCGACCGCGACACCACATTGGTGACATGGTGGTGAAGCTCTCAAAACCGAGGATGTCAAGGTCTGGCAGTCCATGAACACATGGTACTTCTGGCCATACTTTGTGATGTAGACCCCCAAACCATGCAGATCTTGACCTTCGTTTCCAGCTGGATCGCCTGCCGCTTGAAACGGCCTTGGAAAAGCTTTTGGTGCAGCTGTAGAAGGTCGATCAGAACTTGCTGACCCCGTTGGCTCCCAAGCTTCGTCAGCCTGGATATCTCTGTAATCCCGTTCTGTGGGATGGTAGAGAGTTTCTTCTTCTTGTGTTGGCTCTGGAGGCGGAACTTCACGCTCCGCAGGCACTTCTTGTTCGGGCTCTTCTTGAATCCCAGTGAGGGTCACTTCCGAGGGAGCCGAAGAGCTCGATGTGATGAGCGGTTCTTGCAGATCTGTCAGGCCGGCTTGATGCCGCTCTTCCGCTGTAAGCGACGATGCCCACCTCATCAGCCACTCTCTGTTGGTGTTGGCCCACTGGATCTGCTGTTCCCTTGTCATGGGAGGTGCCGGACCATATGCATGATCTTCTGGCGCAGGAGATGATGAAGTCGACGGCTTCTCTTTCCCCTTTCCTTGTCCTTTGGTCTTTCCTTTTGACCGGGCACTATGCCGATTCACTTCACGGCCTTGGTAGTCGACCGTGAGGGAGCTTCCTTGCGACGATGAATCTGAGCTGTAGAAGCGAGGTGGACTTGGTGCCTGAGGGCAAGGCTCTGGTGTTTGAGGACCACCAGCTTGATCACCTCCTTGAATGGCAGGTGTAGTCAGCCAGGCCCACAACCTTCGAAGGATGAGCGTTGCGAAGATGACCAACAACGTGTACATGATCATGAAGAACTGGAGTGGGCCGTCATCTCTCTCGCCCTGAGCTTTGGCCTTGGCCAGAATGGCCATAAGAACAGCCAGCTGGAGAGTCCTGCCATCGGCGAGTTGAACCATCGCCCTTTCCTTTTCACGCTCTTCTTCTTTTCCTTCTTTTGATCTTGTCGCCTCTGGGCCATCCTCCTTATTCTTTTCTTCCTCTTCATCCTTCTTTTCTTCCTTCAAGCTTGTCGCCCCTGGGCCGTCCTCCTTTTCCTTTTCTTCTTGCAGCGACATCATCATCAATTCCTTGAGTTCTCTTGCTCGTTGGATTGTGAGGGCCTTGGTGCCAAGATCAGCAATCATCACTGCACCCGACAGGTGGCGAACTCGCCAATCCAAATTTGTGATCCTCCAGCGAACATGTTGAGCTCGAAGTCGAAGATGGCGTGTTCGCCAATTTGCATTTCCATCGGCAAAG